GAGGAGAGTTAAACAATCCAGCAAAGCATAGGAGACTTGGAAATAGTTAGCTGAGGGCCTATACTTCCTTACTGAATGCACGACAGAAGACAAAGAAGAAGAAGAAAAAAAAAGAAGAAGAAGAAGAAGAAGAAGAAGAAGAAGAAGAAGAAGAAGAAGAAGAAGAAGAAGAAGAAGAAGAAGAAGAAGAAGAAGAAGAAGAAGAAGAAGAAGAAGAAGAAGAAGAAGAAGAAGAAGAAGAAGAAGAAGAAGAAGAAGAAGAAGAAGAAGAAGAAGAAGAAGAAGAAGAAGAAGAAGAAGAAGAAGAAGAAGAAGAAGAAGAAGAAGAAGAAGAAGAAGAAGAAGAAGAAGAAGAAGAAGAAGAAGAAGAAGAAGAAGAAGAAGAAGAAGAAGAAGAAGAAGAAGAAGAAGAAGAAGAAGAAGAAGAAGAAGAAGACGAAGACGAAGAAGAAGAAGAGCAAGAAGAAGAAAAAGAAGAACAACAACAACAATATTTCACTAAGGTCCCTATAATGGGTGTATTCTCTTGTGTGTGTGTGTATGGGTGTGTGTGTGTTTGTATATGTGTTCTATAAAATGATTTCATAATATTCAAACGGATAACTTTTTGTTTTAAAGCAGCAGAAATGCGTCGCTGTATACAGAAAGTTCAGAACCACCCAAGTTGAGCCCTTTATGGAATCTAAACACATTGATGCCCCGTTGGAAGAAGAAAACATTTATATCGAAGATGAATGCAATACCAAAGACAACAAACTTTGACATGGCTATCCGCTATGCAAACATCTGATTCAATGTTGTCATTTTTCCCTGTCTCAGAATTTTCACACGTATGACGCCATAACACCTTAGAAATAATAACTGAGTTTAAGCAAGATATGTATAGACGTCGCCTCTGTTGGGGAAAATGGAGCCCCAAGTTATCAGTCTCTCGTAGTTATAAATAAATTCTCTGTTGGGTGATGTAAAAACATAGAGACGAGTCTTGTTTGATTATCAGGATTTTCAGGTGGTGTTTGATGAAGAGACAATCTTATCGTACCGGATGCGAGAGTTTTCCCACGTTTAATGTGAGAATTTCTTTTCTCTCTCTCTCTCTCTCTCTCTTTCTCTCTCTTTCTCCGTCTCTATATCTCTCTCACACACATACTCTCTCTCTCTCTTTCTCGGGTGTGTTCGTATATCTTTGTGTCTGTTTCTCTGCACAAGCATATACATTTTATGTGTGTAAATTATTACTTGAACATTTGTATTTGATTTTGTTTTATTGCAAGGATCTCTCTGTCTCTGTCTCTCTCTCTCTCTCTCTCTCTCTCTCTCTCTCTCTCTCTCTCTCTCTGGGCGTGTGTGTGCGCGCGCGCGTGTGTGTCACTCAATCACACACTAATGTGTGTGCAGCTGTCTGTGTTTATGTATCTCTCTGTAAGCATCTATGTGTGTATTTTGTTGTTTGCCTACCTCTGGTTGTGTTTGCGTCTTCCCATCTCTCTCCCGCTCTCTCTGTTTCTCTCTTTCTGTCAATGTCATTTTGTCTATTCGTCTGTCTTTCTCCCCCCCCCCCCCCCCCCACACACATATATATATATATATTCACAATTATTTAAAATGTCAAGATTAGTTATTTCCAAACGCATTTTTTTTTTCTTCAGAATTACGTTGCATTTTCAGAGGTACACTGTGTTTTCATGAGTACACGGTGTTTTCAGAGGTATACTGTGTTTTCAGAGGTATACTGTGTTTTCAGAAGTACACTGTGTTTTCAGAGGTACACTGTGTTTTCAGAGTACACTGTGTTTTCAGAGGTACACTGTGTTTTCAGAGGTACACTGTGTTTTCAGAAGTACACTATGTTTTCAGAGGTACACTATGTTTTCAGAGGTACACTATGTTTTCAGAGGTACACTATGTTTTCAGAGGTACACTATGTTTTCAGAGGTACACTATGTTTTCAGAGGTACACTATGTTTTCAGAGGTACACTGTGTTTTCAGAAGTTCACTGTGTTTTCAGAAGTACACTGTGTTTTCAGAAGTACACAGTGTTTTCAGAGGTATACTGTGTTTTCAGAAGTGCACTATGCTTTCAGAAGTACACTGTGTTTTCAGAGGTACACTGTGTTTTCAGAGGTACACTGTGTTTTCAGAGGTATACTGTGTTTTCAGAAGTACACTGTTTTCAGAAGTACACTGTTTTCAGAGGTACACTGTGTTTTCAGAAGTACACTGTGTTTTCAGAGGTACACTGTGTTTTCAGAGGTATACTGTGTTTTCAGAAGTACACTGTGTTTTCAGAAGTACACTGTGTTTTCAGAAGTACACTATGTTTTCAGAAGTACACTGAAGTTTAATGCATTGGTAAAACATTACACATTAAAAATCATGACAAACCAAAACAAAAAAAAAAACCACATTTACGAGGCAAGAGATATTTTTTTAAAGTATTATTTTTATACAGTTTTACAATTATTTATAAAGTATTACATATTAAAAGTATTATTATCCATATTGTTATGCATGTAAAAAACATGGGTCATACCTGTAAAGGGACCCAACTAAAAAATAAGTAATTGTGTCTGAAATAACCACCCTCCCACCCCCTACCCCAATCTCTCTCCTTCCCCATTTTGTCAACATTTAGTGTGTGTGTGTGAAAGTGTGTGTGTATGTGCGTGTTTGTGGGCTGTCCTGAAGTGTTTCATATTGTAAAAAGAAATTCTATAAACTTCAAGGTAAAAGACAATAATGTAAAAGATAACAAGGACAGAAGTCAACGTTTGGATGTGAACTGTTAATCAGTACCAGGCAATAACTACTAAATCACTTCCATTTCCGATTCCAACTGTACGGAAAGTGTTTAAAAGTGGACCGCGACGGCTCCCATGAGATGTAACACACGCGCAGTGAGTCGCCTAGTATTGGACAAGTCCTGAAAGTCTAGACAGTAAGAATATAAGCATAGGCAGCTGTCCATTTGCTTGACAACTTTCCTTTCGAGATAGTATCTACATTTGTCAACTACTCCCTAAGGCATTTGCTGCGGGAGACGAAGCATTGATACATATGTCCGGTGTGCTATAATGTGGATTCTGAAATCAGTAATTTTCCTCGTGTGCGATTTGCGGCCTCAGTGTGGAGGTAACAAGAATATACCCACTGCCTCTCCAACAAGCATGTCGTAGGAGTCGACTAATTGGGGGTTTCCTTCGAAGTCGGAGTGCATCTGTCCGAGTGACAAGGAACAAACACTCGGCACACAGTCTTAGTGTTAAGGTCTCAACTTTGCTGCAGTCGGGTTTCCCCGTTCTTGCTTTGTTCCTGTGCCATTGAAAATCAAATAAAATGTCCCGAACTGTTGCGTTTGAAAAACTGGGGAACCAACAATTGGATACAGATAAGTCAGATCTGTAAAGCGGATGTGCACACAACATTCAGGTTCTTGAACAAGGCCAGATACGAAAGGGCAATCGGAACTTTCCACCGGAGTTTACAGCCAGTCAACGCGAACAAGAAGAGAAAGAAGAAGAAGAAGAAGAAGAAGAAGAAGAAAAAGTTTACAGCCAGTCAACGCGAAGAAAAAGAAGAAGAAATCAGTAATTAGTCATTCCTTTCCCATACCAACCTCGTGACTATTTAAGGTAAAGGTAACGGTGAGAGGGTCGAATTCATTGCACCGGGTTTATCTCACATGGCTGAGTCTCTCCCTGCAGAACAGCTAGCTGCCTGCTGAGCGCGTCGCATAGAGCACGATCTTCGCAGCTCCGGTGACGATCCCCAGGGATTCCTCGTGAAACCTGCACTCGTGAAATGAACGTGACCGCCGTGAAACGAACCCACGACCTTCAGAGCGCGTGGCAAACGTCTTGACCACTTCGCCATGGGGACCACCTGGTGCCTATTCAATAGACCAAGCAACTCGCACCCTCATCTTCGTGCCAACAGATCGCTCCCAGAACGACGCTACCATCACCGTCTGCCTGAAAGAAAGTCAATCTCTTGCCAGCACTTTCACCTCGTGTTCTTTCTGCCAGAGGTGTCACTTAAATTCTGTGCCAATCCTCGTGCCGGTGGGCCCCTGTCCAACTCTGCTGGTAGAATGCATTCTGCCATTTATTTTGTTCAATCTACGGTGGCGTTCGATAATGCCAAAATAATTCAATTTCCCAGACAAAATGAACATCCAACCAATCTCTGGATTAGGTCTGTATCAGGTTTTTTTTTTCCAAGTCCATGCATCAGTGACAAAACATAAGACGCTACCCTTTAATTTATCAAACTGATAATGAAATCTAGTATGCAGGAATTATAAACATATCAATACAACTTTTCACCAAAAAACTCCTTTTCATAACTACTTTAGCTTAGACCAATATGAGAGCAAAGTAAGTTTTGAAAATTCGCCTCTTTGCAATTGAATACTAGACATTTTGGCCAACAGGCCAGCGTTTAGTCGCTACTCTACTGTGGACTCCGAATCGTGACCTAGTTTCATCCTAATATGCCCCTTCCCAGATACAAATGTCCAGTATAAGTCTTGCAAACCAAGACGGTCTTGTGCAAACCAAGACGGTCTTGTGTAAATCATGCTGGTTTCTAAATGCTGATCAGGGATCGCCAGTTCTGCATGAGTTCCACAAGGAACAAACCGTGGTACTGGGTGCAGACAAGAGTCTTTATGCGAGCCTCACTCTGGTAGACGTTAGCCTTTCTCGTGCTTCAAACAACATGGACACCCGTGCATCTGATAAAAGAGTTAAATTCATAGTTTTCCCGAGGATTCACTGTTGAATAACCAACCAATTGGCCAGTCAGTCAGTGGAGCAGGCAATCAACCACATAGCAAACCAGCCAGCACATCAGCCAACTAACGAATGAACCAGTTAAACAGCCAACCAAGCAGCCTGCCAGCTAGCCAGCCAAGCAAGTATTAAACCAGCAATACACTAGACCCACCAATCATGTTGTTTCTGACTTTGAGTCTGGTTCTAGAAGACGCCCGCAAAGCTCATTCTAAAGTTTTGCTCTCTCTGGGCGAATTGCCTTCATCCCATGAGTCTGAGATGTGATCAGAGTCCGTAAGGGCCGATTTGTCACTGTTTTTGTCCGGAGTGTGAGTACACGGGGACGCTGAGCCTTGCATGTTGAATCTGTAGGGGTGAAACGAGAATGGAGAAGCAAACACTCCTGGGTACGGTGAGGTGGGTAGGCTGCTGATTCCTAGCCCCATCCCTAAACTGGCATAAGCGAAATGAGGAGCTTGAGGAAGGATCTCCGCGTGGACGTGGCCTTGGGGGAAGAAGGTATTCCGAAGAGCCGCCTCTGCTGCTGCAGCGGGGTGGAACTGGGAAAGCTGGCTGGTAAACGCTGAGTGAAGTCCTGCAGACGAGCCTACAGGGAGGGGTGTGAACGCTGACTTCACATTACCATAGTTATATTTACTGGACGCTACCGCTCCGCCATGGGCAGTAGGGGGATTGTGATGATGTGGACGATGTCCAGTTACTCTTAATCCGTTATGAGAATGTCCACCACGACCACCACTAAGACCATTCTGGACGCTGGTGTTGTTTGCTGAATGCCCAAACACGTTCGAGTTTGAGGGAAAGCCGCTGATGAAGGGCATGGACCGAGCCTCTTGTTTCTGGCCTGCTTGCAGTACAGCTTGATGTTGCGCCGCTACTGTATCCTGGGCGGATAGAAAATGTTCAATGGCTTTGACAAGGTCCCCGTTACATCCCTGAAGAACCAACTCCAAAACTGATTTTCTCTGAAGGGGGAAGACTCTCTCCAGGATCTCTAGAGGAGTCAGTCTCCCGGGCCTGAAAGCTGTTGGCTGTTGATATCCTGTGTTGGAGTTGTCCACCTTGTGGTGTTGATTGTGGCTGTGGCGGTAATGTGAATGGGACGATGACAGTTTGGCGTTCGTTGTTGATGTTTCAGAAGCTGTTATTTGTACCGAACTTTGTTTGTCTGCCGCGAGGGACGGGTCGTTGCCTAGAGCAACCGGTGAGCCAGATGATTCTCCCTCGTTGTCGGAGCAGCTATCCACTTCAAGCTCGGTTTGTGAATCTGGAATAGACGAGAGAGATAAACACATCGTAAGCAACAAAACTATAATGCTTTCTCTTCTACTATCAAGTATATATATAGGTTTGTTGCAATTTTACTGCAATAATAAAAAATAAAAAAAAAGACCTAGCCTCAAGTAGGTACCGGGTGAAGTCCTGGGAAGTAAAGGCAGCCAGAGATATTGACCACCTCACCTATTGTGTGCCGATTGGTTTATACAACAGGTATTGAGGTGGGCTCATGGGAACAAGATGCCATGGACCTATTGTGCGGAAAAGGCATAACAGAAAGAGAATGAGAGTGAAGGAAGAAATGATTGCAGAAAGGATGATAGCTTAGCGTCTGAAAAGAAACGGATTAAACACAAATATTGACAACAATGGTCCTGAAATCCCATGCTATCATTGTGGAAGACTTTTCTTGACACGGGCGGGTCTTGCTAGTCACACTCGCCATCGCCATGGGCTGTGAGTCCCATGCCTCCTCACAGCGCAATATAATACTGTCGCCTGGAAAGACGGAAAGGTGCCAATGATGATGATGGAATGCTGATGGTCTCAACCGTATAGGCATAACCCTTACATTTCCAATACGCTTGAAGAGGCATTTTCTAAATAATAATAATAATAATAATAATAATAATAATAATAATAATAATAATAATAATAATTAGTAATAATAACAGTAATAATAATAATAATAATAATAATAATAATAATTAGTAATAATAATAAAAATAATAATAATAATAATCGCACGACCAGTGTGACTGTACACTTGTTAAAATGATGACGCGGACAGTCACAATTAAATGCAAGCATAAATGTGCTGTTTACAAATTAGGTAAATTTATTTTTTATATTATTGTCTTTTTATTTTCTTCCATTCTATACGAATTCAAATTTTAATTTTATTGTAAATCTTCAGTAGTAGAACTTTAGAAGTAAAACTTCAGTAATAAAACGTCAATTGTAAAAACTTCGACAATAGAACGTCCGCAGTATAACTTCAATGCTAAAACTTCAATAGTAAAACCTCAGAAGTAAAACTTCAGTTGTAACACTACAGTAGTAAAATTTAACAATAAAAAAACATTTGCAGTTGAAACAAAAAGGAATGAAAAAAAAAAATAGATAGAAGCAGGATAATAATACGTACATGTTTGTTACAGTATGAGAAAAATCAGTGATATTGTAATCTGCTAGTAATAACATTCTTAAGTGGTAGTTGTATGGCAGTGGTAAAAACTAGTAAGAGTGTGTCGTAGATTTTCTGTCCAGTAAATTCTAGTGTGCTGTATCATGAATAGGCTGATAGATCGGCTGCTGCCATTCCTCTGGACAGAGAGCTACTTTGTGATAAAGCGGACACAGGGAAGATTTGCTGGTAGCAAGTGGACAGTTCGACAGGGCTTACAGAGCATCCATAAGGACTAATTCAGCCCGGCGATTGGGGGGTGGGGGTGGGAGGGGGGGGGGGTATGAGGTTCTAAACGACAATCAACGCTGGGGAACGCCTGGAATGCCTCACTGCTTCAGTGTTACTGTCGCTTCCATTCTAGTCGGTTCGTGAAATCTCTTCATTCTCTATTATGCGTGTAGTAATAATTATATATAGCTCTTCGTCTACAATAATCATCATACTGGATTATATCATACTATATGTCTGTATAATTATAAATTACTATATGACTGTAATAATCATCACATATTATGATGTATCACTATGTGTATGCAATAATCCTTACACATAATTATCTATAACTATTTGCCTGCGATAAACATCACACATAATTATATCTCGCAGTTAACTATGTTATAATCATCATACATAATTATATATTACTATATGTATGTAATAATCATCACACATAATTGTGTATCACCATTTGTTAGAAATAATCATTATACATAATTATCCATCATTATTTGCTTGGGATAATCATCACACGTAATTATATATTTCAGTCTGTCTGTTATAATAATCACACACATTTATATATTACGACGTGTCTGTAATAATCATCATACATAATCAAAAATTACTATTTTTCTGTAATAATCAACACACATAATTAAATATTACTATTTTTCTGTAATAATCAACACCCATAATTAAATATTACTATTTGTCTGTAATAATCAACACACATAATTAAATATTACTATTTTTCTGTAATAATCAACACCCATAATTAAATATTACTATTTGTCTGTAATAATCAACACACATAATTAAATATTACTATTTGTCTGTCATAACCAATACACATGATTAAATATTACAATTTTTCTGTAATAATCTTTATACATAATTAAATATTACAATGTATGTGTAATAATCTTTATACATAATTAAATATTACAATGTATGTGTAATAATCATCATACATAATTAAATATTACTATTTTTCTGTAATAATCAACAGACATAATTAAATATTACTATTTGTCTGTCATAACTAATACACATGATAAAATATTACAAATTTTCTGTAATAATCTTTATACATAATTAAATATTACAATGTATGTGTAATAATCATCATACATAATTAAATATTACTATTTTTCTGTAATAATCAACACACATAATAAAAATTACTTTTTATCTGTAAAAATCGTAATACATAATTAAATATTACAATGTATGTGTAATAATCTTCATACATAATTAAATATTACTATTTGTCTGTAATAATCTTCATACATAATTAAATATTACTATTTGTCTTTGATAATTAACACACATAATTAAATATTACAATTTGTCTATAATAATAATCACACCTAATTAAATATTACAATTTGTCTGTAATAATCAATACACATAATTAAACATCACAATTTGTGTGTAATAATCGCTTCAGGTGGGGTGTGCTAAGAAAGGACTTTCATTGAATATTAAGAAAACGGAAGTAATGATTATATCAAAGAAGCAGATAACTCCACGTTGTGATATCTCAATTGAAGAAAAAAGACCTAACCAAGTCAATAAATTCAAATATCTTGGAACAATCATATCATCAGATGGAAAATGTGTGTCAGAGATTAAAAGCAGAATATGTCAAGCGAATGCTGCATTTCAGAAAAAGAAAAATATCTGTTGCAATAAATCGCTCTTATTTAATGTCAGAAAGAGGGTGCTAAAATGTTACATAAAACCTGTTCTACTGTATGGCAGCGAATCTTGGAATGTAAGTGAACAAATTAGGAAGAATTTTGAAGCAATAGAGATGTGGTTTCTGAGACGAATGTTGCGAATACCTTGGACGGCCAGTGTAACTAACAAAGATTCTTGAAAGAAGCTAATGAAAGTAGACCTCTGTTTACAACAATAGGAAAGAGCCAAACACTGTTCTTTGGCCACATAATTGGAAGACTGACATTGGAAAGTATCGTGACAACTGGAAAGATCAGTGGAGAAAGAGGTAGAGGCAGACCAAGAGATATGATGCTGGATGGGCTGAAACGATGGCATGAAGGGATATCTTCAAGAGAGCTGTTCCAGGCAACCAGTGGTCGTGATTTGTGGAGACGCATGAGCGCCTACGCCAGTTGGCCGGGCACATGATGATGATGATGATGATTTTTCGTAAAATAAAAGTAAGGAACCTGTTTTCACGCCTTCCAACGTATCGGGCATATAGGGCTAGACCTATATTTTATAGACCAATCGGCATTCGGTGGATGGTGTGATCAATATCACGCCGGGCGCCTTTACTTCCCAGGACTCTAACGTACCTATTGAAGGCTGGGTCGACCTGGGAGCTAGGGTTAGTTTTGAAAAAAAAAAAAGCTTAGATTTCTAAGGACCTGAACCCACGACCTTTGGATCCGCAGACACGCGTCTAAGCTGCTACGCCTCCTCGTGATATAAGCCCTACCCAAATATAAAGCCCTAAATTCCTAGCAAACAAACGACGCCAAGATAGGAGCTGAATGAAATTGGCAAGATTCTACTGTGACCATGACCATAAAGCCCTCGTTTAGATCGCAAACCAAAGGGAGAATTTTGTTTGTTAAAAAACACGACGGACGCAGTTGACTCCTTTCCAGGCGGTAGAGTTACGGACGTACTGAATTAAAAAGAATTAATGAATGTATAAAGCAACGTCATTAAATTATATTAGTTACATTAGTGAAAAAAAAAAGGGGGGGGGGGGGGAGGAGTCATCCCCTGCAGAAAACAAAAAGCATCCATGGTGTCTTTTCTTAAAGAAAAAACTGGTTCTTTATGAATAAACTACTTCCAGATGACGTCACAGGACAGTCCAACATTTTAGAGTGTGGTAAGACAGGGTTTCCCGGCTATCGGATGCTTTTATTGACCCCCAAATATCTAGAACTGGCCCTAACCCCAACCCACTTACGTCCCACGACTGCATGCAGCCTGTCTACCACCCCCTGAAATATCAGACTGTCCTGTGACCTGTGGATTTCCGCTGTTTGGGGTAGGATTTTAATAAAGCACCGAAAAACGTATATATGACACGCCTTACTTTCACGAAAACACGTTAACTATCTATGTAATTTTAATAAAATATTTATATGTTCATTTGTTTATCTTGTTTTTTCCTCTTGTCCTGTGATTTTTACCATTAATCAACATGCATGCTCTGTGCAAAGTGGCACATATACACGTATGTAAATGTCAGTTTAGTTGTTAAATCCGGTGTCCTAAAATTACAACTGTTTGGCTAATGCGGCATCTGCTGCTGTGTAGAGGATATACAATCTGATATATATGTGGTTAGAGTGCTGTTTCGGATACATGAAGCGCTGCAGTAACATCCGTTTAACTTCTGTGTATGATTATTATTATAACATGGCAGAGACAGCTTTGTCATATAAACAGAAAGTGGACCCCCCCCCCCCCGCCCAACACACACACACACACACACACAAACACACAAATAAAAATTATAATTATAACAAACATGTGTGCATATCATGAGAATTATGCACATCATGAGAATTATGCACATCATGACAATCATG